CGTGAGGCACCATGTGAACATCCCTGGCAGATCTGGGCTTCAGGCAATCCTTCCAGGAACCACCTCTTCTAGGATGGCAGGGACCACCAAGAGACTCCTGATGTGCAAGTTTTATGAGTTTGGGAAACTTCCAAAGGACCTTTGCTCAGAAAATCTTTTTCTATGAAAAGACTTCAACTCACAGAGTTCAAAAGAGCTGCCTGCTCTAACTTACGCGGCTGCCACGACCCTCACTAATGGGAAGCAGAAAGCCCCGCTCCTTAGGGGCCCGGCCTTCAGGCCCAGGGCCGCAGAGCGATGGGGACCACTGTGGGCCTGGATGAGGGAGCCAGTCTGGGAGCACCGGCATCTAAATACGGTACCCAAAGCTACTCCCTTCTCGAGTTTGACAGTGAGGGTGCAGAGGGGTGCCCTGAATGACGCTGTGAAGAACAGCAGTGACAGTAAGTTACCAAAAGGCAGCAGCAGGCAGCACCGGCTGTTCAAACAGGACCCGCCAACCGACTTTCTCGTGCAGTCCGGGCCACACTCAGTCACCATGCTCTCACCAGCCAGTGTCACCTGGGCCTCGGGGAGCTCAGTGTCCCACGCTGGAGACCAACAAGCCAATGGCAACACGTGGCGTGCGTCTCAGCGCAGGGTGGCGGAGAGCAGGCGCACAGAGAGGGTCAGAATGGGTGCGGGGAGAGGGAGAGGGCAGAGGCCGGAAGGGACAGGAGGGAGAGGGACGGGCTTGGCGCTGGCCTTCAAAGAGGCCCGAGCCCAGCATGCCATTGAAGTGCTGGCACAAACAGTAACGGGAGGACTTGTCTAGCCCCCCACCAGGAAAGTGCTAGGACTAGGGCACCCTCCCAGCAGGACAGAGGAGGGGACGGCGGCCCAGCAGGCCAAGGCCTTGAACACCCTTCCAGAGCAGACGCTCGCTCCGGGTGGTGAAACGTGAGTGGGAGGCAGGAAGGCAAAGTGAACAGTACAAAATCTTCCAGCATCGCGGTCTGGGGGGCTGGGGCAGGCGGAGTGAAAGTCTCCAGCTTGGTGGGCGCGGACCCCGGCACCCCGCAGCCAGCACTGGTTTATCTTGAGGTTAGAGTGAACCCAGCCGAGTCCCCTCCACCACTTGCAGCTGGGTTCATCTCATCTATAAACTCGTTACATCTCGCCTGCTGACAGCACAGACTAGCAACAATGTAAGTGTTGTGCCCTAAGCACTCCCTCTTGCTAATATGTGCTGAGGGGCTGTGGCCTATCCCTGGGATGGACGCCCAGGCCTCGTGCCCGTCCTCCAATGCGACTGCCCGCCCCCCCGAACCTCCGGCGAGGCAGTGGGCAGTCTCAGCGCGCCGCTGGCCCCCGCAGCCTGGAATATTCCTGCTTCTCCTCATTTACTTAAACCACACCCCGCACAAGCACATGGAGCTTGGGTCAGAGACACTGAGGCTGAAATTCTAGATTCACCATTTGCTAGATGAGTCTGTTTCCTTGTTTGTGCCACAGCCTGGAGCTGTGATAAGTACATGGTGTGTGGATGCTGGTCACAAAGTCCTCCATACATGCTCACTGTCCCCCCTCACGTCCCTCCTCAAGTCGCAGTCCTCTCCCTGCGCCCTGCACTCATTCCAGCCTTCTTCTCGGCTATCCCTACTCTCCCTCCGAACCCCCACAGTGGGGCATGCCCGCCAGCACAGACGCCAACGAGACAAACGGAGACAGCTCATGTCCCACTCCGGGTGCCGGCAGCAAACCTGCCAGCCAGGAGGAAAATGTAACCGAGTAACGGGGTCAAGAATGTGGATGAGGTGATGGTTAAGCAGCCATGACTGACGAGGAGCCAGCTGTGGGCACCCAGGGGACGCCTTCCAGGTGGGGAGCAGCTGGGCTGGGCGGGAGCTGGCAGAGGGCTGGCTGGTCAGAAACCCCCAAAATTTCAGAGTCGTCCCCGAGGATGGGCCAGGGAAGCTGCTACAGGTGGCAGTGAATTTAAGATGTACTGATTTATAGCTTCGCCAAGAAAGATCCCTGGAGACCTTCCTTCCTCCGGGTATTCATCAGGCCCTCTGCCCGCAGGTGTCCTTGGGGCGCCCTTGGGGACCTGTTGGCCATCCAGGGGCTGGTGATTGGACTGGACTGATTTCAGGATACCTTGGGAAAGGGCTGGAGCCAGAGCAGCACAGACCTGCTGCTAATAGTTCCAGAGCCAGGGGCCTAGAGGAAGCCTTGGCCCTCCCTTGGATCCCCTCCCCCACTGCTCAGCCCCCACCCAGAGTTCTGGAGGAGGGAGTGGGATCTGACATATTAAGTTCACCAGGGATAACAAGTCACTGTCACCTGTGAGCAGAGGTAAATGGAGGGGAAAGCGCTCTGCCCACCGAGGGCGCATGGAGCGCTGCGGGAGGCTCTGCTGAGTCCGGGACAGAGGCTTTCAGGAGAAAAGACCTACTTTCCTCCTGCCCGAGGACGTCGCTGCCTCAGCTGACTGACGTGGCCTGCCTGCCCCCGGCCTGTGGCGGAACCGAAGGGCCACTCTGCTCTTTGTCAGGTGACCGGGCCCTCCTTACACCACCTCTGTGCAGGGTCCCCAGCATCCCGGCCATGAGTAAGGTCCAGAGGACCCCAGCTCACGCCCCAGCAACACACTGCACAGCTCCTCTCTCTTCTCCCACCTGCTGCTCTTTCCTGAGGCTAAGGCCAATCAAGCCTTGTCCTCTGAGCTGGAGGACCGGGCTTCATGGTGACCAGTCCTGAGTTATAAAGTGTGTTCTTCACCCTGTGAACGGAAGTGCAACGTGACGTGATACCCCTCCATCACAACACGCACAGCATCCCCGTGGGAGACAGAGGAGCTGGGACGGCAGGCCTGCCCCTGGAGCCCACCAGGGAGGCGGGGCCAGCAGTGCTCAGGGAGGGTGCAGCCCCTACCTTCAGTTCCCACCCTCCCTCACTCGCTCTTCCTTAGCATCCTGCCTTTAATCCTTTCCTGCTTTCAGAGAGCTCCACCCTCGCCCTTGTCCCAGGTTGCAGGTCCGCAGGGTCCTGCTTGCTTGGCAGGTGCGGCCCAGCGCGACAGGCAGCTCAGGCCTCCCCTCAGGAAGCTCCTCATAGAGCCCTGCCTTTCTCTGCCAGTGTCCTCTTAATGTCCCTTCTAGCCCTTTCAGTCTGCAATCACACTGCCAATAGTGTGCTGTTCTCTTGTCCGCCTCCTAGGACATAAGCTCCTGGGGACCAGCATCACCTGCCTCAGGACCTAGCACTGCCTGGAACACGGCAGGCACCAGCAAGTCTTTGTTGAATGGATAAAAGAATGCTTAAAATGGAAGTAAAAACGTTCCCCATGCCCCACTAAATACACCTGTTTCCATGATCCCCCCCACACTCCATCTTAGCATGGTCAACATTTGCTCCTTCTATATTTTGACTATATCATTCATTCCCAAATCTTTTCCAGAACCTTCTGCTCCCAGCTCTTCCTTTCCTGGCCTTCAGCTCGCATGTACTTGGGCAACGATGGTACCCCTTTCTGCACAAGCCACCCCTCCCCTGCTCCACAGCCCCTCCTCTTTTGGGATGCTGCTCACTCGTCCTGGAGCTCCGTGTGACACTCCCCCAGTCAGAAGTCTCTGTTACTTGTCACATAAACCCAAACTCTCACTCACACTGCCAACATCTTTGATAGTTTGATCCCCACCTACTTCTCCAGGTTTATTTCCCATCCTTTCCAGCCACATCTGCATCTAGGGCAAGCTGGAAGCAGGCAGGTGCCATAGATCCCCCCAAATCTAGAGGAGACTCAATGAAGAGGCATAATTGGATGCCTAACAGTCCAGGTGACAGGCGCTGGACACACACAGCTAAATGTCATGGGTCTGGAGTGGGGAGGTCGATTCACAAGCCAGGGCTGGGAGAGCTTGTCAGCAGTCTCATAAGCAGACCACCTGCTGGCTCCCTTGGGGGGTGTCAGGCCTTTTCCCCTGGGCTGGCTGGGCAGAGGCGATTCGAGCAGGAAAGGGCTGAACTGCTTTGCATAAAGGTGACAAGACCTGGTAGGGGACCTGGGCAGGTACCAGAGGGAGAGAAGCCTGACCCCTCCCAAGGAGACCAGGGCTCTACGGGGGATGAGAACCAGGGCCTATGTAACTGGGGATTTTAAATGGCTTTATTCACTAAGATATAACCTCCCTAGCAAATCCTTATAGTCACAGTTGATCTTATTTGTTAGGCGATATGGGAGGGGGAAGAAGACCCCGAGCCAGGACGGAGAGTCAGCAGGAGCTGGGAACCCCGGGAAGCAGGTGATTTTCAGGGATCCTGGGCATGCGAGCCAATCACCGTGACCAGTGTGACAAGAACACTGACAGGCATCGTTAGTGGCGACAGGGGAGGGTGAAGGGAGAGAGGCAGGCATGGCGCTCTGCACAGGAGAGGGTGCTGCCAGCAGGAAGTAAAGCCCCCCTTCTTGTAACACCTTCTCTGCACCTGCCCTGCCAGCACTGGACCCACCCCCTTGAGACCAGCTGAGAAGTGGTGTCCTCCAGGACACGCGGACCGAGCGACCTGGTCGTCTGTGAACTCGGGCAGCTCTGCTCCTCATCTCCGGGGCTCTGAGCCCTGCAGGCTGGATGCACAGGGGTCCCGCCTTCCCGGGGAGAGGAACTCACTCATGGCCCACCCCTACGGCGACTGCTGAAGAGGCATTTACTGAGAGGAACCCGTCCCTTGGTTCAGACCCCTTTCCTGATGCGACGAGAACCGGCCTGGAGTTCCGCGGCCTGGACGGCGGTTCACCGTAACCTCTCCTGGCAGCGCGTCCCACTGCTGCTCTGTGGAGGCACAGGACGCGGAGCACGGTTATCCGTGTGCAAGAGGACCAGAGGGAGGGCTTCTGGACGGATCTCCCTGCTCTAACGTGCCCGCACGCTTTAGGATCACCCGGATCCGATCCGGAAAACCCTCCTCTGCCACGTCCCGTCCTGCGGCCACGTGAGAGCGGCTCCGAGCGGCGCTCGGCGGCGCAGGAGGCTCTAGGGTCATTTTCCAAGACCAGGGAGGCGGCTCCTGGCCCGGCGTCATCTCGTAACTAGCAACACAGTGCTGCAGGGTTTACGGGAGAAAACACAGAATAAGAATCAGGTCTGCTGAGCCCTGACTCCTCACTGCTCTAATAAGAAGTTGTTTTGAACACATGTTAAGAATATACGAGGACATTTTCCTTCACACAGGGAAAGTATGCTGTTGCCTCCTGGATAAAAATGCAAAGTCATCTAGCACTGAGGGTTTTCAGATCTGTTAGCTTTGTAACACTGTAACTCACAGGTAGTCCAGCTAATTACTACCTCCAAATAACAAAACACTGTGACTATTAACAATTTTAAACAAATCATTTTTGCAAAAGAGCTGCCTTTTATTGGTCTAAGTATGAAAATAGTGGCGATGTGGCCTGCTGCCTACAGTTGAATTTTTCTGCTGGCTGCAGCAGAGACCTTCCTGACAGAGGATCTACCACCTTCACAGTCTTCTCAGAGCTCTTCTTTGAATTCACATTGCTTTGAATTTCCAGATGTACATGATGGCTGTAAGGGCAGCACTATACAAAATCAGAAATAAAAAGAACACGAGCTTAATTTACAGCAACCTCATAAAATACACCGGTGTAATTACAATTCTTATTTTTTTAAGTGTTAATTTGTGATACTGCCTACACGATGCTGTTCACACTCAGAGTTTCAGGTTGTACTGAAATCACTGGGGTGGGGCCCACGGACCCTTTCCTGCCACAGGACCCCGTTTTAGAATAACACTGCGCTGCACCCTCAGGAAACAGGCCTGGGGACAGGAAGCAACCAGGCGGTCGCTCTGTGGGCCTTTATCATCTTGCTGTGACCCCTCAACCCAGGGCTCAAGGACGCGTCACCCACTCTCCTTAGCAAATGGAAACTCTGCCTCAGGTTAGTCTGGGAGGTCAGAGTATCTGATCACTCCCAGTCTGTAAGTTACACATGCTCATGTCAGTGACATTACAAATGTCTGTAGCCCTTGTACACCTAGCCTTCCTCAGAGCACGTTTAGTAATACATTTAAATTTTCCTGATAATATACCCACGAACTAAGATCCCAAGGAACTGAAATCCTCCATGATTGCACCTTGTCACATGAAGTGCATTGCTCAAGAGACGAGGGTAGCAAGCCAGGTGTTCTGGCCTGACTGCCACACCTTCTCCAGGTGCAGGCCAAGGGCTCCCTTCCTCTGTTGCAGCCCAGCTCGCTCCCAAACCGGCCGGCCCAGGCTCGTCTCCAAACCCTGAGTGCTGAAGACAAGCTTCCTGCATCCTCTCTGCATGTCAAAGGTGTCGCTTAGATAGTCTGGTCCTAGTGGCTCTTCAACAAAATACTCCTCGCAGGTCTTACTTCTCTCTGTGGTGACCAGTTCCTGGTTGCACAGAGCTTTTCCAATTCATCACTCAGCCCTAAAAAGAACAGAATAGAACTTTCCAGCATGGTAACTCTGTACTTTACCTTCTGAAAAGGTCAACAGTGAGTACCTAGCTGTGTGAGTACCTGGACAGTAAGGCCTTCTGCGGCCTCAGTGTTGTCATGTGAGGTGGTGGAGTTGAGTGTAATGGCCGAGGCATCTCTTGGCTCCACGGCTCTGAGGCTGTGGCCCCTTCCTGCCTCATCTCCTTTTCTGGAGACTGGAGTCAATAATGCCAACACCTGCCCTCGCAGCACAGAGAATGGTGATTGTCAAGGCAGCCAGGAGTCCAGCAAAGATGGACAGGACCCACCTTGCCCGTGGCTCTAACAACTCCCTTCTGGCAACATTCTCAAGGATCAAACTCCATGCCAAGAAGAAACAACCTCTGATTACATATTCATTCTTCCTTTAAAACCGGGAAGAGGCTCCTTTCAGTGCTGAGACTCTCCCAGAGTGTCCCATCAGATGGCTCACGACAGTGGCACCTATTTAAGACCCTGTAGACACATCACAGCCCATTAGTCCCTAGGCAGAACCAGAGACACTCAAAGGATTCTCCTACCAATTCTGACTTCACTGTCATTACCAAGTAGAATGAATTACACATACAGGGGGAAACCCCCTCCTAACTCTTACTGTCTACTGATTCAATGGTTTTAAAGAAGTTATGACAGTCTTCTTAGATAGAAAATAATGAACAAAACAGAAAAATACCCTGCAGCCCTGTTTTCCATTCTGGGGAGGCCGGGCCAGCTCCCCGGCTGCGACAGAGCCAGGTGCCCAGCGAAGACACGAGCAGCTTTCCCGGCCCTTCCTGGCACAACTCTAGGCTGGCGTTCGGCAGGTGCGCTCCTCTTTGAGCACCTTATCAAACTAGTTACGGCCAGGCTGGTTCCACCACCACTAGCAGGGTGCTCGCTCCGCGCAGATCTGATTGGGCAGGGGGCCACTTTGGGGCTGGTGGCCTTGTGCCTGCTGCGGCACGTAGGCAGCAACCCACACTCACCCCATGTCTTGTTCTCACCATGTCTTAGCTCACATCTGCCACACAGGTTAGAAACACTCAAAGACAGGTTCACAGAGTCGGAGGGATGGGAGACCACGCTGGGCCGGCTGGCTAAGGCCCAGGGCGGTGTCCTCGTGCGCGATCCTGTGCACCTGCTCTTTGATTCGCACTTCTCGGCAGGGGAAAGAGAGGGAAGATCTTCTGGACCTCCCTGCTAAGATGCTCTGTGAGCCTCAATTCCTGGGTCTCGTGTCACCAAGGCTCCAACTATGCTGTGTGGACAACCCCCTTTAAATAACGAGCAGTTGTGGATGTCTGCGAACAGACTTGGATCTGAAGCTGGATTCAGCTGGGACCAGACTTGCCACCCTCCCCAATCTCTGACCTGGAGAAAGTAGCTGCAGATGTGGGACTTTCGTTTTTTTGGCCAACTCAAACATTGTTTAAGGTCTCCTTCTGTCTAGACCCTGTGTGGGGGGTGTACAGGCTGCCTCCCCACAGGGACTGCTTTGGTCTTGCTCCCATCCCACCCTTTGCCAGGTTACCCATTTCTGTTTAAGCTTCCCCCCTTGATCTCTAAGGTCTGCTTGGTTTTTGAGCTTCTAGTCCACTTTCAGTTACTCAGATCACCCGCCCTGGATTCTTGGATTCTTGGTTTCTTGCCTCATTGCTTGGTCTGTGCCACTCATCCCGGTCTCCCATGGGTGCCCATGCTCGTCGGACACACTCTCTTCCTCCACCCTCAGGTTTCACTCCGACGCACTCACTTGGTGTCACTTCTCATCTGTGCATTTGACCTATTTGTTTAATTTGTCTTATCACTCAAATTGGACTGTATGTTGCTCTAGGAGAAAGAGTAAAGTTTTCTTTTTTCTGTGATCAAATATGGTGCTGTGCTTATAATGAATGGGCCTTCAAAACAAGTGCAGAAGACAAGTAAATGGAAAGACATCCGTGCTCATGAATTAGAAGACTTGATACTGTCAAGATGACAATACTATTGAAGGAAATCTAACATTCAGTGCAGTGCCTATAAAATCCCAATGGCATTTTTTATAGAAATAGAAATCCATCCCAAAATTCATATGGAATTTCATGGGACTGGGAATAGACAGAAGAATCTTGAAAAAAAAAAAACACACAAAGTTGGAAGTCTCACTTTCTGATTTTAAAACTTATTACCAAGCTATAGTAATCAAAGCAGTGTGCTGCTCACAGAGACTGGTGAACAGATAGATGGAGTCGAGATCCCAGAAATAAACCTCACATATACAGTCAGCTGGTTTCAACAAGGGTGCATGTCAATGAAGAAAAGATGGTCTTTTGAATAAACGGTGCTGGGAAAGCTGGATACCCACGTGCAAAAGAGTGGAATTGGACCCTTACTTTATACCATATGCATAAATCGACTCAAAATAATCAGACCTGCAGGGTGATGTCAAGATGGTGGAGCAGGTAAACTCGAAGCTCACCTCCTCCCATGATCACTCAAAATCACAGCCATCACTGAACTGTCTGAAGACTGGCTGAACAGAATTTCTGTAACTGAGGATATAAAGGAGCCACACTGGGACTGGGAGGAGGGGCAGTGACACAGACCAGGCAGGTCTATACCCATGGTGTGACGATTAAGAAATAGGTGGGATATCTTGGCTGTGGAAGTCTCCTCTGAGGAGGGGTCACAGCCCCAAACTGGGCTCCCCATTCCAGGGTACCAGTGCCAGGAAGAGGAGTCCCCATAATATGTGGCTATGAAGAGCAGGGGGGATTGTGTCCTAGAGAGACAACAGGGTGTGCGAGAGTGAGAATGCTGCTCTTAAAGCGCCTGCACACAAATTCACTTGCACTGAGCTCTAGCACAGGGGCAGCTGAAAAAGTGCCAGGGCTATACAGGGAGGAACTAAGATGACTAACTTCAGGGTGAGGGCTGGAAAGACAGGGACCAGGGCAACTCTTTCAGGGGACCAAGTCACTGGCACATCCTCTGTTCCTTTGTGAAGCTCTCCAACCACCCAGCGGGCCAAGGGGTGCTGGGTGCCAAATCTGTGCTCTCCATTAACCTGGTTAACACCATTCACCCTGAGATCTCAGGGTCTCAGTGATTTCCTGAGACCCTGCTGCACCCGACTCTCTCCCCAGCCGAGCTTCTTCCACGGGCTCCTCCACACAAGCAGCCTGCGTTGGCTCACACTGCAGACTTTCCCCCAAATCCACAAGCTCCACAACAGACGCAGCCACTTTCAGCTAGCTCTGCAGAATTTCTCGAAGTCCACAAACACCACACAGGAAGCAGCTGGCCACACTGGAGTGACCATCAAAGGGTCCCAAGCCCAGCATGGGCTGCAGCCAACCCTGGCTCACAGGTTAGCCTCTCCCAAGTGCCTCCAAGCCCAGCACATCAGCAAACAACTGCATATCACTTTGTAGCACCTACCAAGTGGACCAAAGCCTGGAACAAGCAGCGGCTGACTGGCTCCACACCCAAGAAACACTTGTGGCCAGCTTCAGACTACACCTGAGCCCCCCCAAGCAGCTCCACAACTGACATACCTGAAGTGTGACCTCGGCTGTCATCAGCCCCCTGTTAAAGTGACTCCTGCTTTGCCCTGGCTGGGTGGTTCAGTTGGTTGGAGCATTATTCCTTGCACAAAAAGATTGTGGGTTCAATTCCTGGTCAGGGCACATACCTAAGTTACAGGTTTGTACCCCAGTAGGGGTGTACACAGGAGGCAATGGATCAGTGTTTCTCACATCAGCATTTCTTTCTCCTTCTCCTTCTCCTTCTCCTTCTCCTTCTCCTTCTCCTTCTCCTTCTCCTTCTCCTTCTCCTTCTCCTTCTCCTTCTCCTTTTCTCTTTCTCTCTCTCTCTCTCTCCCCCCTCCCCCTCCCCCTCTCTCTCTTCTCCCTCTCTCCCTCCCTCCCTTCCTCTATCTCTAAAAATCAATAAAAACACATATCCTTGGGTAAGGATTAAAAAAAAGTGACTCCCACTCTGTGAGGTGAGCCCCAGCCCAACAGCTTGTAGTTACAAACCCCACAGCTGGTCAACAACATCCACTGACATCTAAAAGACTCGACTACATCAGGAGGACACATACAAGCCACA